CAAGCAGGCCCTTGGTTACAGGATGACAGAAAGCATTATTGCTTCCCAGAGCAGCCAGCCTCCAATTTTCTGGCAAACACTCCATAGAAAATACTTGCTATTATACTCCTAGTACCTGAGGTGGTGGTATTTTAACCCACTTTGTTTTCAAGGTCCTTTCCAAACTAAGGACCACCACTTCTGCAGATCTTGCTGTCCAATTTAGTATCAGCTTTTGGAGGGTTGCCAAGCTATTTTGCCTGAAATGGCTTGCACGGGCTGGCTGCTGCAACATCAGAAGGTGAGCATTCTGCATGTGCATTTTGTTAGTTATGTCAAAAATAAGGGGGAAAAAAGGCAGGTGCAGGAGGAAGAGTCTTCTGGCAGTATGACTGTTGGAAGCAGAGGCAGAAGCTAGCTCTTTGTAGTTCTTTTGATCTGCTTACAGAAAGACTGCACCACCAGGGAAGAGTGAAGGCCTCTCAGTGCCTTATGTTGTCCCCAGAAACAGGAAGCATGACCAAAGAATTGCCTTTTTTTTTTTTTAATATTCTTTTCCTATTTTTAATTAAGTCTTGCAGAACTCCAGAGATGACAACTACTCCTTCTCCCTTAGCCCCAAAACTTGTTACCTTGGGAATACAAGGAAATTACCTCTCCATTTTATTCTTGACAAATCCACATTGGCTGTCACTCATCCCTGCATTTTCTCCTTTCATCATTGAACCTGCATCTAAAGACAATAGTCTTAGCAGAACCCCTCTATGCCCACCTACAAACAGGTGAGCCTGTGACTCCTATAGGAGCAGAAAATCTCCCTTTGGGACTGCAACTGCCTCCCCTTCAACATGCAATAAATGAGTTGGCTCTTTATTAATTGCAAGAGATTTACATGAGACCAAGGGAAATGACATAGCTTATTGGGTCTGGCTGAGATGGAGTTGATTTTCCCCACAGCAGCCCTGAGTGCTGTGCTTTATATTAGCAGCTAGAAAGGTGTTGCTAACACCCCAGTGTTTTGGTTACTGGTGAGCAGTGCTCTCACAGCACCAAGGCTGGCTCTCCAACATTCCCCCCGGCCCCAGCAGGCTGGGGGTGGGGAAGGTCGTGGGACGGGACACAGCCAGGACAGCTGACCCACACTGACCAAAGGGATATTCCATACCATATGACTTCTGCTCAGAAATGAAAGCAAGGAGAACGGAGGGTGGAGGGGAGGCATTTATTATTTACATTTGTCCCCTGGGTGTAACCACAACGCATATACTGAAGCCCTGCTTCCCAGGACGTGGCAAAACATCACCTGCTGATGGGAGATAGAGAATAAATATTTTGTTCTTTTGCTTCTGCACGCGCAGCTTTGCTTTGCTTCTGTTAAACTGCCTTTGTCTCAACCCACGAGTTTCGGGTTTTTGTTCCATCTTATTTTCTCCCCTCCCCATCCAGCTGAGGAGGGGGGTGATAGAGCAGCTTGGTGGGCACCTGGCATTCAGGCAAGGTAAACCCACCACACGTAGACATGAAATACTAGTCATATCTGCTTGATAGAAAAGCTGTGAGGTCTCCTCTGCCACAGACCTGGTCCTGCATCCTCAATGAATGTCACCTCACTATAGCCTAGGAAAAAGCAAATTCTACAACAGCAGCAGCTTCCTAGTATAGCTTGTTACTTACATCTCTGAAGATTAAAAGGCTTTGGACAATACCTAGAAGAAAGTAATTCAGGCTCACATGTAGTGAAGCCTGACCTGCAAAAGTAAAATATGAAGGCTCCCAGATGACAGGGAATGAGGAGGTGCGAGGAGCACTGCCTGTCTTCTGTCCATGCTTTACAGAGACTGTGCTATGAGAACCCGCTTGGCTGCGGGTCCAACCTCCACAGGTCACCTCTACTCTCATGCTGAAGCTTCCCAGCCTTTTGAAGTACCTTGAGCAGATGCAGGCAGCTGTCATCAAACTGCAGAGTAGCACTCTGGCACATGTTTCAATTCAACCTGGAGGCTTATACACAGGAGAGAAACATCCAAGGACCTCAGATCCCAACCAAAGACCGACATATGACTCTGGGAGCAGGAAAGTCCCTTTCCCTCACCTATGGCACTGCATAGGTAATGGAAAACTATGTGGAAAAAAGAAGTTCTGGAAACCTGGATTCAACAAGAAATCACCACAAGACAATGGAGCAAAAATTATCTATTTTATTACAAAACCAAACAGATGCCTTTCAGTCTTAACAAACAATGCCATAGGCAGAAATGCACTGGGGCAGGGTAAGTTCAATATAAACTCAGGCCATGGAAAGCAGTGCCTTCACATGGATGAATCCCACTGTAATGCACTTCCCTCTAACAAACTACACCTTTAGAGGATCAGGAAAAAAGGAAAGATTTTTGCTTCTGGCAGGAAGAGCAGATTACTTGCACTGTGAAGCCCTGGTTCTCTTCTCTGTCCCCGCTGTTTTCAGCTGTCTTTCAAAGTAGAGCTAGAGAAGCCCAGGAGGACTTGAAGGATGAGGACAGACATGCCCAGGATCTGCTTCCAGGCACAATGTTGACACTCTGCATACCCCAGCTTCAGTATGATGCTACTGATGCAAGGCAGAGCAAGAACATGCTTACTACCACCAGAAAAGGACATGTCTGGCCTAGCAGCCAGGTAGACTGGCAAGTTATCTGGTAATAAAAACAATAAGGGAAGAAGGGAGCTGCTGTCTTCTGATGAGTGTTTGGACAACTCATAGGATGAGTTTTATGAATCAAGACCAATACTGTCTGCCTGATCTTCCAGCACACAAACCCAGAACAAGTAACCCAACCTCTATCCAGACGTTACACAATCATGCTCGTTGGGTCTTGCATGCCAATACACAAGCATTGCCAGAAGCTGCTCACAAGCCTGTGCAAACCCAGCAAGTCAGGATTCAGGGACTCAGACTTGTCTTGTGAAAGTAAAGGGGAAAGCAATGTAATGCTTGGACCCCACTCAATCCATAAAGTCAACTCTAGCATAGCAATATGAATACCCACCAATATCAAAGCTAACATCAACAGCCACCCCTTGTTTGGCTTCCTTGCAGAACTGACCCAATTTTAATTGCAAACTACATGTGAATGCAGGAGGGGAAGGACACAAAGATGAGAAAAAGGTCTGCAGAAGGATTTATGTGACAGGCAGGAGTGTTGGCTGGCTGGTTTACTGACATTTCCAGAAGAAAAATGCAGTGACTTTTAGCAGCTCTGCACTCCCCTCGCAATCTTGTGGGGCACTGCCCGGCCCCAGTGGCTGGCTGACTGAACTCCTATAAGCATCCAATTGGCTGCTTTTGCGGGATGCAACTATACATTAAAAAAAAAACAAAAACCCACCAAACCAAAAACCAAACACCAACCCAGCAGCCAGAGCTTTCAATTCCTAACACTAGCATATTAAAAAAGCATAGGGGTTCTTTTTTATATACAGTTGGATTCATTCTTTACTCCTACAATAGGATTAATGAGTGATAGGGACATTTCTAACTATATTCTAAACCAAATCATTTCACAGTGATGTGCCCTGGGCATTTAAGAAGAGAAGATACAGTCAGGAAGACAGGAGCTTGCAAGCCAAAAAAGCACATACATTGTATGTGAGAAACCATGAAGATCCAGTAGCAAGATCTGCTCTTGTTAAAGAGATGACTTCTTTATATTACAGTGGTGTGATGTAGACTTCAGAGATTACCAGAGGTGTTTTCAACCAGGCCAAATACTTTAATTAGCTCCAATCTACTTCCCAGAGGAAGAGTTATTAATACTCTTAAACAGTGATTTATAGAAAGATTGTGTTTTGGTTTTTTCTTTTTTTTTAAACCTTCTACATTTTGTCAAAAAGGCACTAACTTACTGTATTAGGACACTCCTGCTCTGATGTGTTTATCTCATACTATCATCATGCTGACATGCCACAGAGTGAAGATGATGTGTTGCAACATCCTCTACCAAAGCAACAAAGCCTCAAGGGACAAGTCCAGTCTCTACATTAATGCAATGCTGCTACAAGCAATTGGTGTGATCTCATATTAGCATGGCATGTCATAATCTCCAACTACAAGAGACCAGGCTCCTCAGTCCAAGTCTTCACTGTTACTGTAATGTGACACTGGAGCGTGGTAGCACAGGAGGTACTGATAACAGCAGATCTGGTGAAGTGGGTAGTCCAAGATAGGCAGGCTCACCACTGTGCAGGAGAGGAGCTTGGGATTCACAGCCACCAAAGACAAGAATAGTCATTGCAAATAGATCTTCAACAGCGAGCATGGCCCAAGTTGTAGTGTTGAAACATAAGCAAACCAGACTCTTGGGGACCAGCAGCATGACTGTGTCTTTCTGCATTGACAAGTAAGTTCTTTGCGCTTCAGCAAAGCAACAGGCAAGCTGATGCTGTTTTTAGCAGGCTTCTCAATACTTTTATTGTTGTACAACATATAGATGAACACTTTTGTCAGCAAGTAAGATGCAAGACTTCACTCTGCTGACTCTACTAGGCCTATGCGTTAGATTCCCGAGGCATGGCACATCTTTGCAAAGCACATCTTCTGAGTCTGCATAGTAATGCATTTGCAATTCAATTTTTCCCAGCTTGCAACAGGTGCAGAAATTACTTTTTTCTATCCCTAATACAACACTTTTCTATCCCTACTTTTAGCAGCTCTGCAGTGCACCAATACTTAGGTGAAACCTGTGTTCTCTCAAAAGCCCAATTGCCCTTGAGTTGTACAGGGCTTTAGACTAAGAAAAGAAGGGTTCAGCTGCTCCCAAGAAGCATCTTGCACTGTGTGCACATCTGAAAACAGAAGTCATGCTGAAATACTTGCTCCTTTGAGCATGGAGATGTTAAGGTTTACAACTGAATGATGGTTTGGTGGCAGAAATGAATGCATTACTGTAATTCTTTAAATGCAAAGTGTCCCTCTAACGCTAACAGCCTTCAAAAGCAACAGGAGGAACAGAACAGTGACTCCAACCCCTGTACAAGACAAATGTACAATTTACATATATATTTATATACAGTATATAAAATTATCTTTGAGTCCCTGTGAACTCAATTTTATGTCATCAGTAGCTGTTCAAATTTTAAAAAGTCATGATCCTGCTTCCCCCCACTCTCCAAAGTATTAGATAATGGCATTGAAAAGCAATTAAAAACAAACCCAAACCCAAATCAATTATTAAAAAGTGCAAACATTCTGGGTGCCACTTCTGCTACATTGGATGTTGCTGATGCTGCATGCTTGCTCACAAGCAGCAAGGTGTCTGTCCGTCTGTCACTGGATCTTTCTTTCCTTTGGGCTGGCTCCTGCCTTCCCTTCCTGTCTTCTGCTGCTACACCAGGCGACCTACTGAAAAGGGTGGGGTGGGCAAGGAGGGAAAACAAAACAGAAGCACAGAAAGTGAGGAAAAAAACCAAAAGGGCACCTGACAGATAGCGATACAGTACAGCCTCTGCTGCAGCCATGGCCCCAGAGGGCTGAGATCCCAGAGTAAGCTGTGAGGCTGTAAACAACCAGGGGCTAATGACACAGCCTTGCTGAAAAAAAGGCATTAAATGAGTCACATGAAGCCTTAGGGTCTGACGTATTTTTAAACATAAACTACTATCCTCTCCCTCCTCCTCCTTGGAAATGGGTATGCAGTCTCGGCAAACAATCTGACATCTCTCCCACCTGCCCTGGCTGATGTGCTGACACCGAAGCCCGCTGCTGCAAGGCTGCCCTGCCACCATCTCCGCTGAGAGCTGCAGCCTGCTGCCTCCGCCCCGAGCAGGCAAGGAGGCAGGCACACAGGGCAAGGGCAAGCCACCTCTCCTCACCTCTGCAACAGCACAAGGCAGTGGTCTCCCTGCTCCATGGTTCTTGGAGACCTGCCTGCATGATGTACTCAGAAGCTTACCAAGCTACTGAATCTGTGGTGGGAATACAGTGTACTTGGAGGTGGGTTCCCAGGACCCTGCTGAGCTATTGTGTCCCAGTGGATGGTGCAAGGGTGCTGCCTGGCATTGCAGATGGATGCACACACCCCCATGCTCGTTTCTTCAGAAAGCTTTTGTTAAGCCCCTCCAAGGTTCTTAAAGAATCAAAGCTCTTTGATTCTTTCAAATCAGAGAGAGATCAGACAGAGAGCTCTGTGGATTAATTACAGGTGAAAACATGGTGAAGAGAAGACAGAATTATAGATTTCAGTTTCAGAAAGGAGAAAGGTTCCCAGACAGATCTCACTGGGATCAGTGCTAATCAACATGCGCTACCACAGAAGGAGAATATTGTAAAATTATTCTGGATTTCTGGATAGTCGTAGTAGAAACTGACTGCACAGCTCTGCAAAAGGGCATCACAGAGCTCAATGACCAGCTTGTAAAAACAGCAGATTGACTTCAATGTCTATACACGCAACGCAGTGCATAAGTGGAGAGAAGGGATGACTTGTCCTACACTAAGCACTCTTGAATGACTAGGAAAGAGGCTGAAGCCACAATACACAATTTTTTGAATGCCTCTGCTCAGCTTTTAGCAGCAGAAAAATCAAATACATGCTCAGAACTGAGGACACACCAGGAAACATCACTACATCAATATATAAGGCTTAGCTGCTCTATATCTTCAGTTCCCTGTTTAGCCCATCTCATCAGGCAAATAAGGCACCCAGAAATGTAAGGAGGATAGCAAGAGGTATGGGAAGACTTCTGTCATTAAGCAAATACATAGCCTAGGTCTCTTCAACATGGAAAGGAGTGTAAGCAGATATACGTTGGAGAGCTATAGAACAAGTGGCAAGAGAAAGATAGGGGAGAACTGCTCACTGTTCCTCACAATTCAAAATGAGAAGCATCCAATGAAACCATGAGGCAGCAGGTCTAAAAGCAAAACAAATAAAAGTTGTTCTTCATGCCTGATGAAAGGGTGCGATTCATGGCCACAAAATACAGAGGAGAGCAGACCTTCACCAGGACAGAGAAGAGTCTTTATGGGAACTTGTCCGTGAAGTAATGTAATGTAAACACAACAAATCACCTAAATCATTGCTTGCCAGAAGCAGGGAGAATAGGGTAGGAGAGTGTTCATCCCATACCTGCTGTATCCTATTCTAATCCCTTACCAACGTACTGTCTGCCCCAGTTGAAGACAGTGCTGGACTTCAAGATGATGCAGCTGGTTTCCAGCTGTTTTTATATTAATATTTGTGAACAAGAGGAGAGCAGGGTAGAATGAATTTTGGGACACATGATTATCATAGAAAAAAGGAAACACTTCTACAGGATACTCACTGAAAGGGTTAAGGCCTTGTCTTTTTCCATTGGGGAAACTGCTCAGGCTACCTGTAAAATCCAAGAACCATGTTAAAAGTAATAAATGCCGTGGCATGACAAAGGAGCGTCCTCACTGTCTGTTGCCAGAGTGCAGGTTCAAAGGAGCTCCTCTGAGCATGAACACAACAAGACCTGCCAGCACTCCTTAAGACTGACATGCAGGAGTCAGACTAATGTGCTTTAGGTGAGAGAAGTTAAATACCTGGTGTTGTAGCATCTGAACATCATGAAATCCAGAGGGCAAGATGCAACAATTACAATGTTAGACTAAACTGTGGAAGCAGGAAGAAGAAAGGAAGGATGTAAGTAGTGCCATGAAGTTTCCCAAAACCATTTTTGCTAAGAGCAAGCAAAATAATGTCATGTAGACAGGGGTCAGCCAGAAAAGTGAAGGTGTAGACAATACAGATTGCTCAACTTTTGCGTATCTTTAGCTTGGACTAAACAATCAAAGACCTGAACTTATACCTCGCAGAAGGGCAGGGACAGACAGCAGAGCTGTGACTATCATGAGATAAAGGCACATCCACCCTACACCCGATGGAGCTCATGACAAGGGCTCTCACCTCCATAATAAACCTGTTCCTACCATGCACAGGGTACAGAGAGCTCAGGGAGTACAGGAGCTCTTGAAAGCACATTACATTTCCAGCTAGCTGCTTTCAGATGGGGGATTAGGTGGAAACAGGACCAGTCAGAAGCAGTAAGCCTGTTGCCACCTTCTGCTACAGCTCAGCCCAAGACTTATCTTTGACTTATGCAGGCATCTGACCTGACTGCATAGCTTGCTTTGCACATTATGTACTTTGCACACTCACAGCTAAAGGACACTTGAGCTCTGCAAGAGCAAGACGAGCAGAAGGTCAGGGAGCATGGGTGAGACTGGGGTAGCCCTGGGGGACAGGAGGCTGGGCTGCAGGACAGAAGTGGAACCACTGGGAAGGAAAAGAGAGGGAAAGAAAGGTGGTGGTGGCTGAGTTTGGTTGGAAAGCACAACCTGTTGGCTTTAAAGATCGTCAATAAGAGAAGCTGTATAAACACTGTCATGGCCCCTGAACACCAGCCTTGTATCAGCCATCTGCCCTGGCAGATCAGAGGAACCACTGCTGTTAGCTTCTTTCTGCACCCATGTATAAAAAGCAGAGCTCTATGGCCAAGGGGCAGATTACTCCAGAGCTAACTGGGGCTCTCCCGGGGGTCCAGCAATAAAATCCCAGGTCACTTAGCCGCGGCATCACCCAGCTTGCAGGAGCCACTGCCGGGGCCAGACCCCTGGAGGGCAGCCCTCCCACTGGCTGCCTGGGTAAGCAAGAGGGCATCCGAAACCTCCCTTTGCTCCCCATGCAGCTAAGAGCCCTGGGCATTACTGTGAACGAGACCTGTTTGTCCTCAGGAAGAGGCAGGGAGCTCCAGGTGAGTCCATACAAAAGGCAGGGATGCTCCAGGCTGGGCAGGCACACCTTCCTGGCAGCCTGGTAGGGCTCTCTGCTTTCCCGTGGGTCTGGCCACACACCACCGTGCTGGGAAATTACCTTGGAGCTCATCACCTGTCACTCCCAAAGCAGAGAGTATTGTCTTCAGCCAGCTGCCTGCAACATAAACACAGGCCAGCCACAGACACCTACAGAAGACAAAACCCCATCAAAACAACACTGCACCAAGCAAAAAATTGACATGAAAAAGAGGAAGGAATACAGCAGACAGTGAAAGCAGATTTCTGACATATACCTGGGAAGCCCTTGGGTATTATAGTGTAACATCCTATCATTCACAGAGCTTCATAATGCAGAGTATTTGCTCAGCCTCACAAGTACACTATTTTGGGTAACAATTCTAGCCACACAAGATTAGGCCAGGTGTCTTTCAAACATTAAAGCCCTAAGGAAACCCTGGCAGCTTTTTATATGCAGAAATGATTCCTGTGACTTACTGAGCAAAGCTCTCACCTTTGATGGTAGAAGGAACACACTACCACAAGCCCTGTCTTGCACCCTTAACACAATACTGGTGTCCTGACACACACTAGCCATCAATAACTTTCTTCAAGATTAAAGGCAAACTGGAGCATCTCTACTTTGATCCAAAGAAGTATATCTGAACAAGGCAAACAAAAACAAGCACCGAACCAGTGGAGCTTGTTTACATTCTAATCTAATTGTAATTAGATTTACTCTGAATTTCCTTTTATTAACTCAGTCATTACCCGAGTACAGTTTTCTCAGCCTTTCAGACTGTTGTCAGCTTTCTACCATCATCAGTCCAGATGCAGTGATACAGAACATCCTCACTCCCAGAAGCCTCCTAAGCATGCAGAGAATCAGTCACTTTTGCAGATACCAATAAAAAGGGTTCCAAACATCACTGAATTAAATCTGCTGTTTAGATTGTCCACTCACTGGCAACCTCTCTTCCCACACCTCTTGAGTGAATAGACTGCAGGGCAGGGCCTGGGGGAGCAAAGTCCCTCTCACTTTAGGAGATGATCAGGTTTGTGACCACCTGAGGAACATGAATATATGTAAGTCTATGGGACCTAATGAGATGGATCCCAGAGTCCTGCACTGCCTGATGTAGTTGCCAAGCCACTCTCCATGATATTTGCCGGCACTCATGGATGTATTTCCAAAGCCACTCTCCATGATATTTGAAAAGTCACAGCAGTCAGGTGAAGCCCTTTGTCACTAGAAAGAGGGAAACATTGCACCCATTTTTAAAAAGGGTAGAAAAGAGGACCCTGGGATCTACCAACCTGTCAGCCTCACGTCTGTGCCTGGGAAGATCATGGAACAGGTCCTCCTAGAAGCTATGCTAAGGCACATGGAAGACAAGAAGGTGATTTGAGACAGCCAGCATCACTTCACCAAGGGCAAGTCCTGCCTGACCAGTGGCCTTCTATGATGGAGTGACTACACCAGTGGACAAGGGAAAAGCTACGAATGTCATCTATCTGGACTTCTGTAAGGCCTTTGACATGGTCCCCCACAGTATCCTTCTGTCTAAATTGGAGAGATATGGATTTGACAGGTAGACTCTTTGGTGGATAAGGAACTGGTTGGATAGTCATATCCAGAGGGTAGTCGGGAATGGCTCAATGTCCAGATGGAGATCTGTGACAAGTAGTGTCCCTCAGGGTCCATAGTGGGACCAGTACTATTTACTATCTTCATCAATAACATAGACAGTGGGATTGAATGCATCCTCAGCAAGTTTGCTGACACCACCAAGATGAGTGGTGCAGTTGACATAAGGATGCCACCTAGAGGGACCTGGACAAACTCGAGAAGTGGGCCTGTGTGAACCTCAGGAGGTTCAACAAGGCCAAGTGCAAGATCCTGCACCTGGGATGGGGCAACCCCTGGTATCAATACAGGCTGGGGGATGAAGGGATTGAGAACAGCCCTATGGAGAAGGACTTGGTGGTACTAGTGAATGAAAAGCTGGACGCAAGCTGGCAATATGCGCTCACAGCCTAGAAGGCCAACCGTATCATCCTGAGCTGCATCAAAAAAAGCATGGCCAGCAGGTCAAGGAAGGTGATTCTGCCCCTCTACTCCACTCGGGTGAGACCCCACCTGGAGTTCTGCATCCAGCTCTGGAGTCCTCAGCACAGGAAAGACATGGGCCTCCTGGAGTGGGTCCAGAGGAGGCCACAAAAATTGTCCGAGGGATGGAACACCTCTCCTATGAAGAAAGACTCAGAGAGTTGGGGTTGATCAACCTGGAGAAGAGGAGGCTCTGGGGACACCTTACTGGAACCTTTCAATACTTAAAGGGGGCCTATAAGAAAGATGAGGACAGACTTTTTAGCAGGGCCTTTAGTGATAGGACAAGGGGTAATGGTTTTAAACTAACAGATTTAGACTAGATCTAAGGAAGAAATTTTTTTTACAATGAGGGTGGTGAAACACTGGAACAGGTTTTCCAGAGAGATGGTAGATGTCCCATCACTAGAAACATTCAAGGTCAAGTTGGATTGGTCTCTGAGCAACCTGATGTAGTTGAAGATGTCCCTGCTCACTGCAGGGCGGTTGGACTAGATGACCTTTAAAGGTCCCTTCCAACCCAAACCATTCTATGATTCTATAATTATTTTTCCTTCTTTCTGCAGTATTTGCTCAGCTACTCTAGAAAGTGACATGCTGTTCAATTACACACATCCCCTCCTCCCTCCTTCCCCTTTTTAATTAAGACATTTTGATCCTGTTTCTGGACTGTGTTCTTGGTAGCTGGCTGCTGGCACAGACAGTGGATGGGTACCACCCCAGAAGTCCTCATGGCTTGTGAAGTGTGCCCAACACCTACCATCTGACAAGCTCTTGGATAGCAGAGCCATCATGGGATCTGAACTGGCAGAAGGAAACTTCCCGTCAGCTGGCGGAGGGACATTTTGCTGCCTAATCCCTTAGCTCCTCTTTGGGCATGCACAAAATGCTGTCTTTGTCTTCTGAATTTAGAAGAATATAGAGGTAAAACTCAACTCCAGCATTTTAGAGCCAGCACAACTAGTATAAGCATTGCTCAGATCTACAGTCCTCCTCTCCAAGATCACTGGACTCCCATTAATCTTGGGTCCAGTAACTTTCCAGCAAAGCTTTACAGTGCGTGTCTATCTCCTCTCAAGGAGGAGCTCTTTTGACTAATACATAGAGCTAAATTTGTTCTTTGATCACAGATTGTTCCCCATGTCAACTCGGGCTGCATGGACTGCACTGATGAATGCTAACTTTTAACAGGCTGTAAATCAGTCTGTTTTCCTTCTACAATTCCTCAAACAGACAATCCTAGATAAAACGATGGCAAAGACTTCTTCTGGCGTACTCTGAGCTACAAGACCTCTCTGCCTGCTCTGCCTCAATTTAAGAAAACATTTGCAGGCTTCTGCAAGCCCTCACAGGCTGGCTCTTTATGGCTACTCCACTCCAAAATCCAAGAATGGCATTTTCCATCTGAGTTGCCCTGATAGAAACTGATCTAGTTTAAGCAGAGAGGCAAGAACTGTGCACCAGAACCAGTGGCCACCAGACCTAGCAGATTTCCCAGCAACTTTCTGGGTCATCATAAGGATTGGAAAAGCGGAAGGGTTGGTGGCAGACTGGACAGCCGTTTTCCTCGCTGAAGAACCACTGGCTGGCAGCACCCATCTATTAGGCTACCACAGGCACCAAGAATCTGCTGAGAAGGCGAAGACAGACAGAACTATGTGTCTTGGACAGATTTGATCCTAAGCCAGAAAGAGCTCAGATTCAGGTTTGTCTTTATGAATATCCCAGCTGATTCTTCTCTCATGTATCTTCTTTATTTAGACTATCCGGTGCCCAAGAGGCATATAACAATGCTGATTTATCTATGCCCTGTGCTTCTTTCAAGCAATGCTATTTCCACGTTTGGATGGAAGTGGCCACAAAAAAACCTCAAAAAGCAAAACACTGACAAAAATGCAGAAGCCTCAACGTCCTGAACCCTACAAAATCTGTATTAAGTTTTATTTTCAAAATCATTACCAGTGTTCAGTTTGCCCAGCAGGAGGAACACTGGCCTGGAATGATGACCCACTTCATTTTAGTCATGCTGCTGGATACACTGGAACATCTGAGGCAAATTAATTTGTAATGAAGTATATCAAGGGGAAATGATGATTTTCCTTGCCTCCCTCCAGCCCTTCCTTGTCCAGTCCAGACCAGAAAAACCTTTCCAACAAAGCTTTTGTTGAAATAGATAGATTTTCATTAAAAGTTTTGGTTTCATCTGACTGGTAGTTTACAACTGGAAGTACCTCACGAAAAAGGTTCCCGATTAGCTCTTGGTTTGGACCCAGAGTGACCTCAGCCCCAGCAGATGTTTGGAGGCCATGGTAGAGAAAAAGAAATAGAGAGCAAATATATAGAGACTGACTGTATGCACCCATGATCAGGATACGGGAAAGTTGGAGAAGGGGTAAGATACCAGTTATTTCTTAATTTAGAAGTTCTTGTGAATAGAAAGCAGAGCAAATATGTCATCTACCACCTCACAAATTCATGACTTTTAAAAAAGACTCATCACAAACTTGCTTACTGTCCCACTAGAGTACTCTCCTTCACTTCTTTCCTACGTTAGTACCTGCTCCCTCTACTGCTTTTTAGCCCTCACCATCCTTTAGCCCTCCTTGCTCCTCCTTTCACATAACTAACTTATCCATGTATCTTAGATCCTCAAGGCCTGTCAGGCCTTTAGTAGGTATGTGGAGCTGTATGATAAAACAAGGACAGAGCACCTTTTTGCACACAATCCTGTCCTCATACAATGGAAGAAACTGTGAAAAGTCAAGGCTGTGTTCTCAGCAAACACTTGGGCAATCAGGCATTCACAACAATGTCTCGCTGCTTTCTTGCCTCTTCACATGGGCTCAAAGATTCACATTTTCTCCCCTCCAGCCTGCCCCCTTCCATAAACTAAATTTTGAACAGTCGGTTGGCCAAGGCAGCAGATTCCAGAGAGTCTTATTCTAGGCCAAATAGCAATAAAATTCATTTGGCATATTCACCTCATTGGGAAGGTAATAAAATTAAGGAACAGGATTGCTATTTTAGTATGTCATTCCTCAGTAAGGTACCTATAACTAAGAAAAAAAACTCCCACTGAACTAGCGAAGCTGAATGCTTCTCACAGCTGACAAGTAAGCTGAGAGAATCATAATAAGCAATGGGCTTATTATGATAACTAAGATGTTTGCAAAGCACCTAGAAAAGGCAAATTCCAACACTCAAATGCACTGACTCCCTTTCCATTTGTGCTAAACCTGAGGAAAGAACTAAGGAAAGGTTAAGCCTGGAGAAAGAAAGCTATCCACCCTTCCCAACTGGCATGATGATTATAACGAGAGCTGTCCGCACAGCCAAAACACCTGCACAGGAAATTAGCCCCCTGGAGTCTCCCCGTTTACCTTCTCCTGCCAAGCAAGTCTGCCCACAGTCCAGAATGACTGATAATTATTGAATTTGGGTTGAACAGTTTAAATTCATTAAATTTCCAAAAATATCAGTATGGTCCAGGTCTCAACAGAAGATGAGGTGAAGATGAAAGAGGAAGAAGGTTTGCTTGGTTGCTCAGGCACTAAACAGAAAGGAAAATATGTTATTCATACGCCTGTTTTTTCCCCAATCTTAAAATGTATTTTAACTCTGAAAAAGGACAACAGTACAGTCCTGTGCTTTCTTTCTGAGCTGTTCTCTCTGCATCATCCACTTTCCTGCATGCTGGATTTAGCAATGAAAAGAAATATTATTTTTGTTAGTCAACAGGGTCTCTGGAGACAGACTGCATCTGTGCTGGCTCATACATTATCCAACCTACATGGCTGAGACAAAAGCATATTGTTAGCAGTGTATTACTCAGAAGGGACCTGATCTGAACTACAGTTTCCAAGGACTTCTACAGCACAAGCAGGGTTCTGGGCAAGGCTCATCTTTTTGCCCTATTTTTGTATAGTGCTTAGCACAAAGGTCTGTGATAAGGGATATTTGACAGAGTTGTAACACAAATAATGAACTACGTTTGTATGGCAGGGTATTAATCCTACTCATTTTCTCACACAAACTGTGGCACTTCTGAATCACCTGGGAGAAAACAGAGGCCCGAGTTTGCTGTAACTCCATGTCAGTCGTTTATTCTCATGCAACGGGGAAGGAAAAATACTCACCTCCTTCCTTGCTGACTCCCAAGCACCCTTTCAGCTCCTGAAGCGAGATTGACTTGTCCTTGTTGAGGTCACAGTAGTCAGTGAAACGTCGGGCACATTTCTTGGGCTTGGCTTTCTTCTTTACATAACGCTTGAAAGGCTTCAGCTCCCTCTTGTTGATGTCATTGCTGCTGTTGTTGTCCAGCTGGCTAAAGTACCAGTGTACCACTCGCTCCTCCAGTGTGTGGCTGGGGTCTGGCTCAGAGAACCTAGAAGAGAGGAAGCACAGGCCCCGCCCGACAAGTGGGTGCTCTCACCAACACTGTCAAGCACATGCTGAGGAGCCAGAGCTGCTCATTGAGTCAGACATGTACTATGCCATATTTAAAGCAGGCAAAATATGCAGGTCTTACAATCTCCTCCTTTAGCTGGGCTCCTTCAAGAGAGATGAACTTTATCTAAAAATGTCCTTTAGCATTAAAAAGTGGTGCCAAGAGATTCCTGGAGACTGATACCCTCAGTAGCTCTGGTTCTCCTCACACCAGTTGATGAAACTCTGCCTTAACCCAGAAGGATTCCCTTTAGAGAGCAAGAGGCAATCTCCATGGTCCTCTTCACCCTTGGGCTCCCATTCAAGTTACCAGTAGGAGAGCCGCAAGTGTCAGCTGTCACAGTAGTTTCTGTGATAGCAACATCTAGACTTCAGAAAGGGAACAAATTCATTTAATGGAAGACACATTCGTTATTTGAAAATGTCTGGCAAGATACAACATTCTTGCTGTATCTATTTATAAGATTTGAACTCCTGTGCTGTATTTTCAGCATATTTAATGCTTTTCACATGGTTGATTTATACACAAGAATTCCACAGGAGACAAGCAGCACAAATCCATTAAAAGCAAAATACTATGGAACTGGCAACTCCACTTTGCTTCAGTTCTTACTCGTTGTGATCTTACAAGCTTGACGTTATTTGGCTCACATTTTCTTTTCGTGGACAACAACAAACAATATCAGAGAGGAGGAGAAGAGGAGGAGGAAGAAAATCAACAGCTGAAGATGCACAAATAGAGAATGCTGCCATTCAATGTCCAGCCATCACTGAACAGGCACTGTTATGTCATACCATTCAAGTGATGTCTGGTGCTCTGCAGCAGCAGTGGGAGAGGTGCTATTCCTCAGTGATACCGAGAACCAGAGAAGAAAATCCATTCTTCTTTTAAAGAATGAATAATTCTTTAAAAATTGCACTAAGCTAGTCCATCTTTTCTCCATGTGATGAGCGTGTCAACAGAGAAAGCTGAAATGATGCTGAAATGAGGCTGAATAAAGCATTTCAGTGCATGGAAATTGGTGGATGAGTAGTCAGACATGCTACACTGGCACTGGTTACTCTGACATATTCCAGGAGACATCTCCAGCTGCTGCCTAAATTCCTTCCCAGAAAGGAGAGAGGGACAGTTGCATGCTGCAGGCAGCCAGATTCTGGCATGAGTTTGGGCCATTCTAGCTGATGGGGAAATATGAACCCAGGTACCTTTATAAAATGCACTTTAACATTGTCACTGACCTTGTTTCAGAAACTGGTAGGATATATATTTAAATGGCCACTGAAAATTTCTTCATTGGTGACTAGAAGGGAGAAAATTCTTTTGACCTTTCAGTATGACCAGCTTTGCCCCTAAAACGCAGCTACCGAGCCTGAAAAATAAAAGCCCCATCCATCTACCACTAGTGAAGGGTAGTCTGCAACATGCATTAAGCAAGCACTGGACCTTAGGTGGAGAACAGAGATCCTCATTAACCATCTCTGATAGATTTTACGAATGAGGATACAATTCAGAAAGGCAGACCCTATAAAGAGATATCTGGATCCTTGCAACAAGTAAACACACAGAGTAAGGAGAGGCAAATAAACTGAACAACATTTTTCCCAAGGTTTTACTTGAAACTATCTCCTTAATCATTTAATCCTTAGCTGAGAAGCAGCTTGGTGTTCACTCACAGCATCTGGTCAATGTACAGTGGGATAAACACTGTGGGGGAGGAAGAAGAGTTTGGGAATAAATTTGGTTTAGGTTTGGGATCCAAAATACAATGCAAGCCCCTGGAGCCACCTATGGACAAGCAGAAATTGCAAAAATCTCCCCAGGAAGCTAAGGGAGTGCCCGGATTTTTCACAGCCTTGAAACTGTTTGTGAAGACCAAGATGACAGTAGAGAATAAAAACACATCCTTTGGTTTGTTTTTATGACATTTATGAACACAGTCACTGGCCTTTCTCCCTTTTGGAAATGAGTTGGCTATCATTTGAAGACTAGCCTGTTTCCAACAGCCACAGGGAAGTTTTGTATTGCAAGGGATAATATTCTGCTTTTGCCGAGATAGACGAATAAAACCTCAGCTTGTGCATGCAAGATTCTCCTTGTCCACACCTTGGCCTGCCCTGTGCTTCCTGAAGGCCCACACCTGGAGAGGCGGAAATGGAGAAAATAGCAGAGCATCTTAGAAACAGCAGCAGAAATAAAACAGACAGGAACACAAGCTTCTCTCTACCTGCTGAAGAGACACTCAGAACTTAAAAGTGCCTTATTTTCAGAGCCACACCAAGGAGGAGCTCTTATGAGTTACCAAGAGAGGCAATATAGCTCTCTTCAGCTCTTCCATAAAGAAAATTGGGGAAATCCACAGACTAATACAAATACATGGACTTATCTTGACTTTCACAGCTGCCCATGCAAGAAACTTACACACTATCCATGAAGCATGAATTGATTCAACTTCACAGCACTGCTAAGCCACCTAGCTTTGATGATGTGCCATGACAACAACTGTACCTGCCAGGTCAGCTGAAATAAATCTGGGGGCTTTAATTGTCCTGCAAGCACTGACTTTGCAGGACTATTCCTGGGGAATTTCCCTCTATTATCCCTCTATTCCTGTTGCAAGAGAAATAAGTTAGCTCTTAGATGCAAACTTCATTTGTTGGGCTGTCATTCTACTCATTCAAACTATAAAGGAATCAGAAAAACCAAGAGAGAACAAAGCTGCCCTGTACATTTTTGACTCCCAGCAAAACATCTCTTGCTCTAACACAAGTCACACAGAAGTCCACTGAATTCCAGTTTCTCACTCCAGTGCTGTAGCAGCTTTGTAAGACCTAGTAAAGACAGACATTACCAGCCTCTTTAGCACTCTATGACAAAACAATCAATCCTAAAGTATGAGTGCTGGGGAAGCAGAGAGCTCGTGCAAACTGATTTTCCAAATCTAACCTGCTATTGCTGGATCACTTCCTTACATAAGCCAGCAAGTTTAGCTCCACTATGCAGCATAAGCCCACCCACAGTCCAACAATGAAGAGAAGTGTGGTCTGTCATTAACAGCCTACTCTTGTGTTAGCACCAAGTTTATAGTCTTCTCTAAGTAGGCTTTTGCTCCTCCTCCTAGATAATGTGCTATCAGCTCCCTCACAGGAGGAGAATGCTTATTTCTTAGGTGGCTTATGCTTGGAGATACCTGGGTGAAGGTACTGTTACTTTTAACAATACTATTTTCCAGATGAGATACACTTCCACAGAACTCCTTCATATCATCTGGTGTAACTAGGGTACAGGCAGAAAACAAAGAGGCTATGAAAAACTAGGAACATGTACTTCTGCAGCTGCACTGAATTCTGTAGCAAAGAAAGAAGAACATGACAAAATATCAGATAGATAGCTTGAAGATGCACTTTGCATGCAGTCTGTAACGCTTTCCAGCCCTTGAGGCCCCTTGCAAGAAAGGAATTAACTCAGTGGGAAGGAGCAGGGAAGAAGGGGAGGTATATAGGGTAAAGTATACAAGAGCAGCAAATGTCAGACATTACTCACATACAGAACCATGTACAGCGTGCAATCACATTATCCTCCATTGAAATACCCTGTCAAAGTGTGGTATGTCCCACTAAATTTTACTGAGTAAACTTAAGTCCATTCCTATCAATGCTACTCCTTTGCTTGCTGTGCACTTGCAGTCCCACTGCATCCCACTGCACAGGCTGCACAGACCCACAGTACTGTTGCAGTGACAGAAAATCCTAATACAAAGTACTGCTTTGACAGAAAGCAAGGCTGCAATCTCTTAAATACTCAGCAGATGATCACCTGTTTGAAGACCTTTAGAAAACCTATTATTTTGTAAAATAAAATCTTTATGTAGCAACAACAGCAGCTGAGGCAGAAGGAGGGAAGGGCAGTAAGACCAGCCTAACACCACCCAGATGGACTGTAAACAGAGACTATAAACCAGAGGGAGCTATTCCAGGGTGGAAGAACACTGATGGACGAGAAGCTGCTAGCAGAAGCAACAGAGTAGGAAAAAGTTAGTCCAGCTTCCACTCCTAACACACAAGGTATGTTTGTAGTCAGGATGTCTGGAGTTAAAAGTTGTAAATTTCTATGACTTGATGC